TAGATGGCAATTAAAAATATAATACAAAATTGATTGGGGGGGTTATCTATAAGTTATTTTCTTCTTCCTGGATATTCAAGAGTTGTTTGTTGTTGGGTTGTTACAGGGGAGATCATGTTTGATGGGAAAGCATCAATAGACACCAGCAAATGGTCTGGATACAGAAAGCTAACAGACTGGGGGGAGCACAGCACGCTCGCAATCGATTGGGAGAGTTTCCTGGTGTCAAGGACTCATGATGGCCAGTGGATGACAGCAGGCAAATGTATGCCTTTTTGTCAGGTGCTTTGAGAAGTAGCACCTTTCCATCGTTGGGAGTCTTCAGAAGCTTTGGGCCCTTCTGGTCATTCTGGACATTTTGGTTTTCGCCTGCTCTATGGGTAGAAATAATTAGTATAAAAACAACCCTCCAGTCCCAGGTCATTTGTAAGCATTTACCACCAGACTGGATGAACTGAAGTTTAAATTCCCAGGTATACTATTTCTTAGCAGGACTAAGCCTCAAACTTGCTTGAGATCCATTCCTACAAACATATAACTGGAACTACAAGATAAAAAGATATATTAGATTTGTAAAGCATAGAAAAGATTAGTATTTCCTGATTGTCTACTATATTCTAGGTTCTGTGCTAGGCATTTCACATATGATCTCATTTAATATTTCTCTTAAATTTAGTTTTAAATTTTTATTGAAATAATGTACATTTTATTAACATCAAAAAGACTGGGTGGCAAATAGTTGGGAGTTCACCTTAAGAAACACTTTTCCTAGGACACAAAGAAATGGAAAAACATTCCATGTTTATAAATTGGAAAAACAAACATTGTTAAAATGTCCATATTACTTAAAGCAACCTGCATATTTAATGCAATCCCTGTCAAAATATCACTTTTCACAGAGCTAGAACAAATAATCCTAAAACTTTTATGAAACCACAAAAGGACCCCTAATAGCCAAAGCAATTCTGGAAAAGAAAAACAGCACTGGAGGCATCACAGTTCCTGATACCAAGCTATATTACAAAGCTGTAGTCATAAGACAGTATGGTCCTGGCACAAAAACAGACACACAAATCAATGGAACAGAATAGAAAACCCAGAAATGGACCTATAACCTTATGGTCAGTTAATCTTCAACAAAGCAGGAAAGACATTAATAGACACTTTTCCGAAGAAGACATCCAGATGGCTAATAGACACATGAAAGATGCTCATCATCAGGGAAATACAAATCAAAACCATGATGATGTACTATGTCACACCTGTCAGAATGGCTAAATTAACAACACAAGAAACAGCAGGTGTTGGCGAGGATGTGGAGAAAGGGGAACACTTTTTGCACTGCTGGTGGGAAGGCATATAGATGCAGCCACTGTGGAAAACAGTATGGAGGTTCCTCAAAAAATTAAAAATAGAGTTACCCTTAACCCAGCAGTTGCACTACTAGGTATTTATCTAAAGGATACAAAAATGCTGATTTGAAGGGGCACATGCACCCAATGTTTATAGCAGTGCTATCAACAATAGCCAAATTATGGAAAGAATCCAAATGTCCATCATCTGACGAATGGATATACATATTTATTACTCGGGGATAAAAAAGAATGAAATCTTGCCATTTGTAACAATGTTGATGGAACTAGAATGTATTATGCTAAGCGAAATAAGTCATAGAAAGATAAATATCATATGACTTTTCTCCTATGTGGAATTTAAGAAACAGATGAACATACAGGAAAGGGGGGAAAAAGAGGAGGGTGGAAAACAAACCGTAAGAGACTCTTAACAATAGAGAACAAACTAAGGGTTGATGGACGAAATGGGGGAGGGATGGGCTAAATGGGTGATGGGTATTAAGGGCATTTGTTGGGATGAGCCCTGGGTGTTATATGTAAGTGATGAATTGTTGAATTCTACTCCTGAAACCAACATTGTACTGTATGTTAACTAAAGAATAAAAAAAAAAGTGTTAGAATACTTCCAAAACAAAACAACACTCTTCCTTTAAAAGGAATATACTTTGTATATTTTTCATAATTAAAAAAAAAGCCAGTCAAATAATAACAAGGTTTATATTAAAAACAGTAGTCCTCTACTTCATCCTTCCATACTCCCAACTCCCTCTCCTTAGTCCATTAATTCTTAATCTTTTACATTGTTTCTTCTAGAATTTACTTTCTTATGTCTAGGTAACATGCATATCCTGTTATTTCCTGATTTTTTTCTTTCAGTTTTAGATATTGTCTATTGACTTCCTGCTACAGCAGATGAAGATTTAACTCTCTTATACCCCTCCTTTCACATACAGTACTTCTTCCTCCCCTTCAAATATATTTATATCACTGTTTTTGGTTAAATTGATATTTAGGGCTAAAATTATTTTAAATATATGAATACTGTTTATAGCTAAGTCATATAGTATGTTATTATTTCTTCTCTTCTGTAGCCATTGTTTGCACCACAATTAACAGCTGCATTTTGTTATTATTTTCTTGGTTTCTGTGCTTTTATTACTAATCCATCCCCAGATTTTCTGATAGAAGTAAAAATTGCCTCTGAACATGTGTTCTGTTTCATGTTTATCTTGGAGAATTTCATCTGAGACTTTAGTCCTCCTTCTATTCCACTTTGGTGGTTCTTTAAGCCTGTTTTGCAGCTATTAGACTTTTGTCTTCACTGTTATCTTGAGATTTTTTCCCCATGCCTTTCTCCTGAATTCCTGATTTCTGAGATCCTATATCTTTTTCTTGGTTTAATCCCTCAGGATTTTCCTGAGAAAGGTTAATAATTTAGGACCTCAATTCTTTGAAAGTGTTTGTATTTTACCCTCACTTTTCATTATCATTTTGCTGGGTGTAGATTTTTAGGACAGAATGGCCCCTGAAAACTAAGGCATTTCTCCATTGTCTTCAAACTTCAGTGGTGCTGTTGAAAAGTTTCATGTTACTCTAGTCCTCTTTCCTTTGTGATCATCTTTTTCTCCCCCACTCTTTCTGGAAGTTTTCAGGCTCATCTTTTCATCCTGAGAGGACTTGCGTTTCCTTCTACCAAATTCTTGGAGGGGATAACCAATCTGGGATTAGTCTGAATTAAATTCTTGGCTAGAGGTGTATCAGACCATTTAAGTAATCTGAATTTGGCCCACAAATTGGTGAGAACTGACCTATGATTCAGCTGTAGTTTCTCCCCTCTCTACTCTTGCCAAATTTTGAAATAGTCAATTGTCCCTTGAAGACAGTATGGGGGTTTATTTATAATTTACCCTTAAACTGAAGGTATAGCCCTTTGGAATCTTAGAATTCTGGTAGGAGGAGAATCTGTTATTAGACTTCCCACCTTGGAGTAGCCTTGGGCTTTGTTCTCTGTTCCCATCCTCCAAAATGCTGTGAAAATCAAAGTCTGCACTCACCTATCTTGACAGATGCTCTCAGGATAACAGTGTACCACTTACCATTCTAGGTTCCTGCCTTCACTCAATGCCTAACTGGAGATTTTCTTACTTTCTTGTTTGATGTCTTAAAGATGATTAAAAAATTATATTTTGGGGCACCTGGGTGGCTCAGTTGGTTAAGTGACTGATTCTTGATTTTGGATCAGGTCATGATCTCATGGTCATGAGATTGAGCCCTGTGTTGGGTTCTGTGCTGACACTGCGGAGCCTGCATGGGATTTTCTCTCTCCCTCTCTCTCTCTCTGCTCCTCCCCTGCTTGCACTCTATCTCTAAAAATAAATAAACATTTTAAAAAATTATATTTTGTCCAGAAGTTTGTTATTTCCAGCAGTCCAGACACCTGTCCTGTCATATTCTTGAAAATGGAAATATCACTTAAAAATTTTTTTTTGTTAATGTTTATTTATTTTTGAGAGAAAGAGACAGAGTGCAAGAGAGAGAGGGGCAGGGAGAGAGAGGGAGTCACAGAATCTGAAGAAGGCTCCCAGGATATGAGCTGTCGGTACAGAGCCCGACCTGGAGCTCAAACCCACAAACCTTGAGATCATGACCTGAGCCAAAGTCAGATCCTAAACTGACTGAGCCATCCAGGTGCCCCATATATCACTTTTCTAAGTCTCAATTTACTTATCTGAAAAATGAGGATGATAGTAGTATCTACCTCATATATTTGAGTAATAAATGAGATTATCAGTATAAAGTTCTTAACACTGTGTCTGGCACCTCAATTAATGTTTACTTCTTCCTTTTTTTTTTTTGTAAATGGTATTCTCAGAGTCTGAACGTGAATGCTTTATCTTGCTGTATTTTTATAGGTATATGAGGCACTAATGCCAGTGATGAAGATGTGAAGCACCTGAGGTCTCGTTAAGTTGTATATTTATTAAGAAATATAGTTCATTTGAAAAGTTTCTGTTTCAAATGAAAACCAAGAGATTACACAACATTAGTAGCCTAGATCTTAACTGAGAAAAGGAGATTTATTGCAGTGAAATCCTTAATGTGTACATTTCTTGAGACAATAGAGTTTGAAAATATCCCCTCTCCCCCTTAATCAAATAGAACTCTAAACGTATATAACATGGATGCTTCTCTTACAGCAAACTAGGGTATGTTCAATTTTTTTTTTTACCAATTTTTTATTGCCACAGAAATGTGAATTGCATGAGTAGTTCCTTTTATTTTTTTATTTTTTTTTCAACGTTTTTATTTATTTTTTTTTGGGACAGGGAGAGACAGAGCATGAACGGGGGAGGGGCAGAGAGAGAGGGAGACACAGAATCGGAAACAGGCTCCAGGCTCCGAGCCATCAGCCCAGAGCCCGACGCGGGGCTCGAACTCACGGACCGCGAGATCGTGACCTGGCTGAAGTCGGACGCTTAACCGACTGCGCCACCCAGGCGCCCCAAGTAGTTCCTTTTAAAGTGCACAGATATGTTCATTCTAAGAAATTGCTCTTCTCTTTAAAAAAAAATTCCCCCCACTGCCAGGTGGCTCTTGCACAGAATTAGCTCTCTCTCTGGTGGTTGCCCTGACCCTTGGGCTGTCTCAGGGACATTCCTTTAGTAGGTGTATTGTGATGTTCTTCACAGCCAGCATGGTCTCTGTACAGGTCGGTTTGATGAGCATCTCTGGGAGTAAAAATCCAAAATGTCCAGTGTCACGAAGTTCAAAAGCAAATGTGTAGGGTATTCCATTTTTGTAGGCCCAATCCATTGAGCTACCAGAGCTCACATCTAAAAATAAAAAAAAAAAAAAAAGAAGAGCCTCACTAAAGAGTCTGCATAACTTTCAAAGTTTATATATAGTACTTGCTTACTAAGCTATCCTAAATCCTCACAATTAAATACTGTTTCAACAAGAATGATTTAACAGTGGTTCCTTGGCAGTGGGCTCATGAAACTAAAAATCCTACCGGCCATCATCTTTGAGGATCTAGTAAGTAGTAATGCTTTTCTAGTGTGATGATCTCAAGATTTCTCAGCCTCAATTCCAATAACATTTATCTCCACCCACACTTCAGCCCCCATCTCTCCCCCTCTACAAACTAATCTCTGGCTCAGTTTCTTTGCATTCACTCCTTGAGAGGAAGCTGGAGAAAGTCTTTGCTGTAAAATCACTCTAGTCACTGACAGCCTGTTCCTGGCTCCCTGGAGCCAGCTGCTCCAGGCTCCTTTTTCTAGACCTTCACTTAATGAACTTTTCTCACGCTCTTATGGTCCTGCCCTTCACTTTACCATTGTCCCCAGGTCCACACAAGGTAATCAGCCCACCACCTCCTCTACTGACGCCACAGCCCTCTGGCTTTCTTCCTTCCAGCTCAGAGAAGGAGAGGATGCTTGTTTTTTACAGGTGTCATCTTTTGATTCTATTCATCATGGTCTTCTCTGGTCTCTGGTCTTCTCTGGGACCTCGTTTCATTAATTAAACCACCCTCTCTTGCATCTGCATTGACCACAATATTCAAGCACTGATTTCCTATAGCACTTCCTTCTTATGCTATATACCATCCTCCTTGTCTTGGTCCTTTTGCTTTAGAATGCAAAGAGACTCTATATATGTTGCCTCTGTATCCTCAGCCACTTTCAATCTGGTTCTTGCCTCTACTTGTCCATGAAACCTTAGTTCTTGAAGGTCACCAATGACAGCAGGCCTAATCTCCTTTCTTGTTGTTGGTGGTGGTGGTGGTTTTTTTCCACCCCCCTCAGATGCCACTTTCAACCTCTCAACAACATTTAGCATAGCTGATAATCCACTGGCAACTCTCTCCTCTCTCTGGCTCTTGTGACCTCACATGCTTGTGAGCTTGTCGGCACAGAGGTGAAAGTGCAGGCATTGGAGGCAGACTAAGGGCTCAGGCTGTATGTATCCCACCACCTACTGTGACTTGTCTGAACCATAATCTCCTCTTTAGAAAAAGAGATTATAATACCTGCTGCATGGTGGTGTTGTGGAAATTAAATGAAATAACGTGCTAAGGGACATATGCCCCTATTATTTTGCATCTTGACACCCCAAAGTGCCTAGTATGTCTTTTTTTAGCATAACAGGCTCTCAATAATTGTTTAATAAATTTTTAAGAGAAGAATCTTTATATACTTTTTTCTTGAAATCAATATGATCCAGACTGACCTAACACTATTACTATTAAAAAATTTTTCAGAGCATGTTCATCTGCTCAAATAATACCACTTTTTATGCTGCTTCTGTCAGGACAAGTTAGAGATAGATTATTAAGTTAAGACAATTAAATGACTTTGCTGTTTCTCAGGCTCCTCTTGCTTTGGTTAAGGACAAAAGGTAGGCGGTGGCTTCATTGTCCCTCTGGATTAGAGTACACTGGAACTGCAAATAGTGGTCATAGAAGCCAAAGTCAGAGTCAATATGTGCCAAGAGTTACGTCATGGTGATGTGACAGCCTCATTTCTATGGTAACAGATTGTTCTTGGTAAATATAATACCATGACTGTAACTTCATACCAAGCTTAAAAGGTGAAGTGTAAGATTTTTAAAAATTAATATTAAAAACTAATGTATATTATGGGGGTGATAATTAGGAATATGACTTTTAAAAAAATGCTATCTTTCCTCCTTCAGCATGGCCGTACTGAAAAACAGTTCTAAAGAGGTCAGCATGAGACCAATGATCATAGACTTTGCAAAAAATTCTAATACTTAAGACATTCTCATTATTAGGATAAACTTACATGAGAAGCAATGTTAATTGACAAACCAAGCTTTTCTTCTGAAGGCTCAAGAAAGTGAGTGGTTAGGAATATAATAATGGGTAGGTTAAAGAAATCAAGGAGAAATTTCGTACTTCACTGAAAGCGAGATTGGGTGCCACTCTCTATACATACACATACAACCTGTGTGTGTATGTGTGTGTGTGTGTGTGTGTGTGTGCATATGTAGACATTAAGATGTATATGATTTCATGCTAAATTTTCCAAGTCATATAATTAATGAATTTTAGAGTTTAAAAGACCATGAGAAATGACCTTGTCCAATCCCTCACTTAAAAGTGGTGGAAACTGAGGCCCAGGATTAGTATCTTGGCCAAGAATGTATCACAGTTAGCAGGAGAATTAGGACTAGAATCCATGTCTTCTGATTCTTCAAGTTCTTTCCATATACCCAGTTGTTCTTTATTTCATATAAAGTAAGAAATATTTTAATTACCTTTTAAGGGGAAATTCAGCCTTAGGTGTTATGTAAAAAACAGAATTTCCTAACAAGAATGGTGGAGGAAAGGAATAAAAGGGAAGCTCTTTTAGGGCTGAGATATTACTTCATTACCTTCTCAAGGCCCATTTCCACCCTTATAGTAGTTACAATTGCTTAAGGAGCCCACTTGGGCACTTTCTACTGTCATAAGATCTCAATTCAGCTTTGTAGTCATTACTACATGCTTAGAAAATTCTCTGCTTAGAATTTATTTAACTTGGTACAATGATTTCTGTCATGCAGTGTAAAACTAATCAGATATAAACTCCCTCCATCTTCCTTGACTAATTTGGTTGTCAAAAATTTCTCTTTAAAGGAGAACACACTTTCTGTGTTTTTTTTAAAGGGAAGTCATTATACAGGATCTTGGTTCAAGAGATGATTCTAAAACAAAATACACAGGAAACTTACACAATGTGCTGGAGGCAGGTCCATATCTATATTGTACCCCATATACCGAACGAAGTGCATTCACAGCTTTATAAGCTGCAGATTCCTGTGAGGGAAAATGGAAAACTTCTATCACTTTCCATCACTGCATTGAAACCTTTGGAAACACTGGCATGTTGTCTGAGCATTATCAGTCATCAATTTGGAGAGCAAGGTTGGGCACATTAGGTAATAGCTATGTTTAATAATAATATTATTCTTTGACACGTGCTGCAGTTTACAGCGTGTTTTGGAACACATTATTTGCTTTGACTGATGCTCACAGCAGACCAGTGATCAGTAATATTTCCACTTGACAGACAAGAAAAGAAAGGCTCAGCAAGGCTGGGATTACATGGCAAGGAGCGGTTAAGTACCCATATCTTCTGATGCTGATTTAGTGTTCTGTCGTCTTCACTTTTATTCAGAGGCACTTGTTTTTATAAATTACAAAATACTTGATAGGGAAGAACGTCAGTCTTCCTCAAGGCTACATATGCAGTGTTTAGCAATGTGCCTGTGTATAACAGATGCTTAATCAATATTTCTTGCATGAATGTTGAATAAGCATAGCTCTGCAAGAGTATCAAGATAATCTTATTGATCCTTAAGTACATACTTCAGTGGCTATGTACAAGGTATTTAAAGCACATTTGCATCAATTAAGAAACCCTTTAGTTCAGGAAGAGTGACTTCTCTTATGCTATTCATTTATCCCCAGGGGAATGGGAATACAATTTCAGAATGCTCCATGACTTCTAAGGTTACATACGCCTCTGACGGAGCTCAGGTACTGCTAAGATGTAGAAATTCTGAGGTGGAACTGTTCCAATCAATGCCAAAAATCGGAAGAATAATCAACACAACAAAACTACTAAAAGGTGAATATTCTAACATGAACTGAAAGGATACGGACTACACTTCAAAACATTTTCAAATGGTATAGCAGCATTAGTTTCAATAAGGAGTCAGAGAAGTATTGTATGACCAGCAAGAGGAAAAGAAGTATGTTGAAACCAGTATACAACTCTCCCGTTTCAATTTGCCTATGAATAATTTAATACATCAGTTGAAGTACTCTGGGCAACATGGTGCCGTGTGTTGGCCTTGGCTGCAGCTTGCTGTCCTCATTCACCTCAGGGATGAATAAAGCAGCCTCTGCAGCAAATGCCACTTGTTGTGGAAGTTAAGGGGCCAGGCTCCAGAACCTGGCAGACAATTTATTATTGATCTCACTGATGATGAATTTCTCCTCTCAGGAGCCAACAGAGAAGGAATGTAAACACCCTAATACCAAAAACCTTTATGGAGAATGTTCTAAGATTTTAACATCTTCTCCAATGGTTTTAGCAATATTCCATGGCAAGGGCAGATATTTCTACACTTAGAATATTATTGCATTCTGCTGGTGGGGAGAGTTTTGTTCCTCATTATCCCAGAGGACTAAATTCCCACCCCGAAATCTACTAAGAAAAAAAAAAACACAACCTCTTGGCCTCTTTGCAAAAAAACCATAGGCATAGCTTTAGCCTTTTGAGCTCCCTGCACTTCTGCCACTCAGGTGCAGGTGCATGTTGGTGAGAGGTTTAGATAGGATCATTCCACAAAAAATGAAAACTTCATAACATTTTCCAAGAATTATTTTCCAGGGTTGTGTAGCTAGACACCTATTTGAAAGAGTTTAAGCAATTCCTCCTTTCTTTATTGTTTCCTCTTTCCACTTGTCCCAGGCCTCACTTATTAAAAAAAATTTTTTTTAATGTTTTCATTTATTTTTGAGAGAAAGAGAGAGACAGAACGTGAGCAGGGGAGGGGCAGAGAGAGAGACACACACATGAGTCTGAAGCAGGCTCCAGGCTCTGAGCTGTTAGCACAGAGCCCAACATGGGGCTCGAGCTCATGAACCGCGAGATCATGACCTGAGCCGAAGTTGGAGGCTTAACTGACGGAGTCACCCAGGCGCCTCCAGGTCTCACTTATTGAACCTCAGCTAAATAAGGCTTATTTTTTATTCCTTTTTTTCCTCTTCTTTTCTTTCTGAGAGAGAATGTGTGAGTGAGTGGGGGAAGGGCAGAGAGAGGGGGAGAGAGAGAATCTCAAGCAAGCTCCATGCTCAGCGGGGCTTGAATTTATGACTCTGAGATTATGACCTGAGCTGAAATCAAAATTCGGATGCTTAACCAACTGAGCCACTCAGGTGTCCCCAATTATTTCCATATTTAAAGCAGCTTAATGAATGACCTAAAAATGTTAGCAGAAACACAGACTCTACCATATTGATGGAAATGTTTTTGAACAATTTATTAGAATTTAATGGTTTCTGGTTAACATTCAGAGACTACCTAGTTTCTGAGAATTTTAATCTTGGCTGTAATGACTTAGCTTATATGTAACCTGGTAACAGGATTTCTCAACAGTGGCACTATTGACAGTCTGGACTAAATAACTCTGTGCTGTGGAGGCTGTCCTATACATTTAGCAGTATCCTTGGCTTCTATCCTCTAGATGCCAATAACATCCTCCAGCCTTGTTGTGACAATCAAAATGTCTTCAACCTTGTTCAATGTCCCGTGGGAGGCAAATTCATTCTTGGTTGTGAATCACTGATCTACTCTTTATACCACAACATCCAACCTAAGACAAAATTAAAATAGGCTTAACTTCTGATAGCAAGCTAAATTCAAAATATGGAGAACATTCTCATGTAATAGATTTAATATATTGCATACCCCACATTATCTGTTGTGAGAACATAAATAGACATTGTGCCCAATTCAGAAAGGGGTGAATATTTGCCTAGAGAAGCTTTGTGTGATACAGGGTGGTTAAGCTGTCAAGTTAACAACAACAACAACGACGACGACAACAAGAAGTCTGTTGACACAGAGTAGCTGAAGAATAGCATTCTTAAATAGAACTACCATCTTTACAAAATTTCTCAAGAAAGAGAATTTGCTCAGAATTCTTGCTTGGAATGCCAAGAACAAAATTCCTCTTTTGGACAGAATACAAGCCTTCCCTCGGGCCTTCTTCCTCATGTTCCCCATTCCTTCCAGGTCCTGGACACCTAAATCTGGGATTCCTGCAACTCCAACCAACTGGTGAAGGATTTAGAGTTCAAGGTATAGGAAGAAAGGGGGTGCTTATCTTTTATCAAAGCTTTTAATTCAAGTTTAACATCCATATAGAATAATATAACAATTTTAAGTTTATAGCTCAATGAATGATCACAAATTGCACACATTCATATAACCAGTATCCAGGTCAAAGAATAGAACATCAACAGCAACCCCAAAGCCCTCTCCCCTTTACCTCTTCCTTCTTCCTCACTCCTCACACTATATATTAGTTTGACCTAGTTTTGAATTTTATAGAACTTTAGATGCTATTGGCTCTGAATGAGACTCACTTTACAAAGAATTTTGCCCTACAGTGGATAGCTTGTTGGGTTTCTGAGATGAGGAGAGAATGGAACTCTGCTTAATCACTGACAAGTAATCTAATGCCTGAAGGGCTGTTCATTCTGAGTGCTAACTTGTCAAATAGATGCCCAGAGACTTAGTACCATTAAGCAAAGAGCGCTTATAAATTAAAACTTGCTTTTAATTAATGAGAGTCAGACCATAATTTATGAACAATTATTTACTCAATAAAATTAATTATAGCCCTGAACATGTGACTGAAGCTGTAATACTAATCAAATCCATCCTGACACTTTCCGTATAACCTGTGGTAAGAATGTAAATCGGTTTGAAATGATTGCATTTGAGAAGCAGCACAGCATGGCAGTCAAAAGCGACAATGTTGGAGCTATATTTGGGGCTGGATCCTGGCTATGGCTCTTAGTAGGTGTATGTTGTTAGTCTAATTGCTTAATTTCCATAGGTTTCAGTTTCCTCATCTGTAAAACGGGGATAATAATAGTTACCTACCTCATATAATTATGAAAAATGAGTCAATACGTAAAGAATGTTTATTAGCATAAACACAATATGTGTTTGCTATATGTCATTACTGCTTAGAACCATGTTAGTGTTAGAAAAGAAGAAAGCTTGACACACACATATACATGGTCAAAACCTTACCACACAGCTGAAATTGGGGATTGTTGCATATTTGTAAGAATAGGGATATAGCAACATCTGAGCATATGCATGAAAGGAGAGGTAAGCCCTGATGTGCTTCCTGTGTTTTCGGAGGAAGGTGGCTACAGCTTTCACTTCCGGCTCAGATTCTGGGAAAGGTCCACAGTAGGTATCATCGCAAGGGTGCATAGAAGCTCCTTCATCTGTAAGACAGAAAAGAAAATGGGGTGAGGGAGTGGAGAGACAAGAAGCAAGAGACACAAATGAGCATCGTTAAACTGATTTTTTTTCCTTTCATTTCTATCAACATATGGTACTATTAAGCAATTCATCTAATTTCTCATTTATAGGAATCAGTTTTGAAAAATCCAGGGTGGTTCAAGCTTCAATGGCCTGAATAGGAAATAAGTACTGATTTTTTAACTGAGCCTGCATAAACTACTCTAAAGGGATGACTTTGTCAGTGAGAGACTTAATTCTTTATGATCCTCCAGAGCAGGTAAGGCTCCTGTTGTTATACCCCACGGCACCCTGCACTTTCCCTCTGTAACACTCGACATACTTGTAATTAGTCTGCAGTATTTACCTGTTTAGCATTCAACCAATATTTATACTGTTCTAGGTGCCTGGTATTCAATAAAAAACAATACAGAAAAAAAAACCCTGCTCTAATAGAAACTACATTCAGTCTGAATTCTTTATTAAACTCTAGGGCTCTGTGAAAGCAGGAACTGTGTGTCTTCAGCTTGCTGGGCACCTGCAACTAGAACAGTAGTATGGCAAATGTTCAACAAATATTTGTTGATAAGTGAATGTCAGATCAAAAGAAAAGGCTAGCCATCTGCACAGGTGTCTGGTAAGATACACACACTGATTAATCAAGAACATGAAGGCAAGACAGAAATAATTCCATAAAACATGCCAAAACAATTTCTATTACATTTTTAGGTAAGCAATATCCAAACTGGTTTTGTAAAATGCAAGAGGCTTCTCCAGCTATCTTGGGGGTAAGAATTTAGTTAAGAAATCCTCAACAGGGGCGCCTGGGTGGCTCAGTCGGTTAAGCACCTGACTTTGGCTCAAGTCATGATCTCGTTTGTGGGTTTGGGCTCTGCATCAGGCTCTGTGCTGACAGCTCAGAGCCTGGAGACTGCTTCAGATTCTGTGTTTCCCTATCTCTGCCCCTCCCCCACTCATGCTCTGCCTCTCTCTCAAAAATAAATGTAAAAAACCCGAAAAAAATTTAAAAAAATCCTCGAAACTTAAATTTAATAATTTTTGAATTAACAAATATATATCCCGTAGGTCTATGATGGGGAGGAAGGAAAATAACACTGTAACAATCACAAAGTAGTAAAGTCCCAAGATGTTTTTACATTTAGAAAGAATTACCTTTTCTACAGTTATTTGCCACTGGCCATGATTAGCCCTCCCAAAAGCCCTAGAAAACTGTCTTTTTCCATAAACAAATGGGAAATGTCTGGTGATTCTGTGAGATAGTCTAATTCTACTCAATATGAAAAGGTAACCAAGTCAAATCAGGATAAATCTTGAGGTGATTAAATCTAGTTTGTGTTACAGGTGAGTTAAGATGGGGAATTTATAGCAATTGTGGTTTTCCTTCTTTGAGTCTAATTCTGGACATGCCTTAGAAGCAAGTGGGATATGGATGGAACTCAGAATATAATATGAACACTATAGCTGATACTCTGAAAGGTACAGGACAAATAAAGGGACATTTGAAGAACACTGATGTAAAGCACTGGAAAGGAGAGATCACAGACTGAACAACTAATTCCAGAAGGAGCAAAACTAATGATCCAGAGAAAAAGGATTTACAATAATCCTAATAAATATTCTCAAGGGCATATAGAAGGGCACTGGATACATTAATCAGGGACAAGAAGTTAAAAGTACCAATCAGATTGAATAGAAATAGAGAACTTAATTCATGGGTTGAAAGAATACAGTTGATGAGTGAATTAATGAGATGGAATATGTTTTGAAACATTCCCAGAAGGCATCAAAAAAATGAAAGAAAAATTAAAGGAGTATGAAAAATAGAATAACTGTCAACATCTGATTAATAGAGGCCCAAATAGAGAAAGAAATAAAAGCTAAATATTTGAAGAACTGCTAATTGAAAATTTCCCACAATCAAGGAAAGGTTGAATGGAATTATTGTATACAAAACAAGAGAGATAAAGAGGAAATGTGTCAACACTTTGACACACGAGGTTGAAATTTAAGAAAAGAAAACAATTCCAGAGAGAAAGAAACAAGTCATCTATAAGAAAAAGGGATTAGATTCACATTTGACTTTTTAATAGCAACACTAGAGTAATATTTCCAAAGTATATTTATAAACACATATATACTTATTGTTCTTACATTTTTATTTATATATTTAATATTAATTGTTTAAATTGAAGTATAGTTATATATATACTATTATATTAGTTTCAGGTATACAACATAGTGAATGGACAATTATATACATTATGAAAAGCTCGCCACAATAAGTGTAGTTACCATGGTCATCATAGTGTTATTACAATATTACTGACTCTATTCCCTATACTGTATGTTCCATTCTATGAAACTTATTTGTTTCATAACTGGAAGTTTGTATCTCTTAATCACCTTCACCTAGTTTGCCCATCCTCCACCCACTCCTTTCTAGCAAGGGCCAGTTCTCTGTATTTATGAGTCTCTTCTGTTTGTTTTGCTTTTTAGATTCCCCATGTAAGTGAAATCATGTTATTTGTCTTTCCCTGTCTGAATTATTTCATTTAGCTAATACCATCGAGGTTCATCCATGTTATTGCAAATGGCAAGATTTCATTTTTTTACTGGATGAGTGCTGGTTCAATGTGTATATATACAACATCTTCTTTATCCATTCATGTATGGATGAACACTTGGGTCTTTTCCATATCTTGGCTATTGTAAATAATGCTGCAATAAACATAGGGGTGCATATATCTTTTTGAATTAGTATTTCCATTTTCTTTGGATAAATATCTAGAAGTGGAATTGCTGGATCATATGGTATTTCTACTTTAATTTTTGGGGGAATCTCCATACTCTTTTTCCATGGTGGTTACTGTCTTGAATAATGTTCTAGGTGCATTTGAAAAGAATGTGCATTCTGCTCTTTTTGGATGGAATGTTCTGCATGTATCTGTTAAGTCCACCTGGTCTAACGTGTCATTCAAAGTAATTATTTCCTTATTTTCTGGGGTGTTAAACTCTATTATTATGCTATTACTGTCAAATTTTCCCTTTATGTCTGTTACTTTACATAAAATCAGCTTGCTTCCATGTTGGCTGCATAGATATTTTTATTATAAGTGTCATATTATCTTATTGGATTATCATTATGTAACGCTCTTCTTTGTCTCTTGTTACAGTCTTTGTATCAAGGTCTGTTTTGCCTGATTTAAGTATTGCTACGGAGATTTTTTTTTTTTTTTTGCTTCCATTTGCATGGTCTTTTTCCATCCCTTAACTTCCAGTTTACATGTATCTTGAGGTCTGAAGTGAATCTCTTATAGATGGCATATAGATAGGTCTTTTTTTGTTTTTTTATCCATTCAGTTACCTTATGTCCTTTGATCGGATCAGTTAGAGCATTTGCACCATTTACACTTAAAGTAATTATTGATAGACATATGATTATCATTTTGTTAATTGCTTTCTGGTTATTTTCATATTCTCTCTTTTTCTCTTCTACTCTTGTGATTAATCACTTTCTTTAGTCTTATGCTCAGAATTTTTTCTCCTTTTTGTGTATCTATTGCAGGTTTTTGGTTTGTGGTCACCATGAGGTTCATATATAAAACATTCTAAGTATATAGCAGTCTGTATTAAGTTGATGGTTTTGAGTTTGAACACATTTTCAAAGCACTACATTTTTACTCCTCCCCTCCGCTATGTTTTACGTATGTGACATCATATTTTACATCTTTCATTTTTTGAATCCTTTAATTTTTTAAAGGTATAATTGATTTTACTACCTTTGTCTTTTAACCTTCATAATAGCTTTATGTGACTGATTTACCAACTTTACTATATATTTGCTTTTACTAGTAAAGGTTTTTCTTTTAACAATTTTTTTTATATCAGTTATGGTCTTTGCTGCTTAAAGTCCTCTCACATTTCTTAGAAGGTCAATTTAATATTGATGAACTCTTTTAATTTTTGTCTGGGAAACTGTCTCTCCCTCAGTTCTGAATGATAACCTTGTTGGATAGAGTATTCTTGGTTGTAGGTATTTTTCCTTTCAGCGCTTTGAATATAGCCTGCCACTCCCTTCTGGCCTGCAAAGTTTCTGCTGAAAAATCAGCTGATAGTTTTACAGGGTTTTCCCTGTATATAAGTAGTTGCTTTTTTATTTCCATCTCAAGATTCTAATTTTTTTTAATTTTATTTTTTATTTTTAAAAATTTACATCCAAATTAGTTAGCATATAGTGCAACAATGATTTCAGGAGTAGATTCCTTTGTGTCCCTTACCCATTTAGCCTATCCCCCTCCCACAACCTCTCCAGTAACCCTCAGTTTGTTCTCCATATTTCTGAGTCTCTTCTGTTTTGTCCCCCTCCCTGTTTTTGTATTATTTTTGTTTCGCTTCCCTTATGTTCATCTGTTTTGTCTCTTAAAGTCCTCATATGAGTGAAGTCCTATGATTTTTGTCTTTCTCTAATTTCACTTAGCATAACACCCTCTAGTTCCATTCATGTAGTTGCAAATGGCAAGATTTCATTCTTTTTGATTGCCGAGTAATACTCCATTGTCTATATATACCACATCTTCTTTATCCATTCATCCATTGATGAACATTTGGGCTCTTTCC